GTAACTCATCCCCACCCGAATAGTATGAATGTTGTGTTCTATTTTTAATTATGTATTGTCCTTATGTGTTATTGTATGTATCCCCCCCGCTTTGAGTTGTAAGCCGCCCTGAGTCCCCCCAGGGAAAAGGGCGGCCTATAAATAAATTTTCAAATACTCAAATATTGTACTGTACATAGTTAGCAATCAATATACAGCATGTGGCACTGGTGACCTAGTGTACACCCTCTTTGCCTTACTAAAAGAAAACATTAGGTTGAAACCCCAATTGACGAAAGCTGACAGGCAGAGATGAACAGGCAGAAATCAATTACGGTATCTTTGAATTTGTCTGGATGATAAACACCTGGAATGAGTTTTAAATAAGTTTTCTCTTCTTGTTTCATGCCTTTTATATAGTTCACCTATTGTTGCTTATTGTTATTGTATGCTTTTATTAATGTTGCTTCTCCTTGAAAAGTTATGCAGGTAGCCCTCAACTTATCATTGGTCACATAGCAACTGTTCTATGTTATCATAAGCTCCCCCCCACCTCCAAAGGTACTTATGATCTGGTCCCAAAGTTCCAACAGCTGCCCTGCCCCATGGTCACATGTCTATATTTCGGGTGCTCAGCAACCAACTGTATTTACAGCAACATGTCTGTGATTTGTTTTCCCCCAAAAAATCAGCACTTATTTTAGGTTTTGGCAAAAATACCCCATAACAAAAATGGGTTCATTTAATGACTAGTGTTCACTTAAGGATTGTTGCAAAAAATGTTGCAAAATTGGGTCAGTCACGTGGGTGCTCCCTTTATGACCATCACAACCTACGACCCTAATAGGGAGACTCCACTACAGTTGTACGTCCTTGTCTTACAACTGTAGTGGAGCCTACCTATAGTAGTCGTAAAATGTGGTAGTCAATTAATAAAGATTCAGATTTACAACCTGTACTCAATCAAAACCCTACAAGCACATGTTCACAATTTGGGCAATTCTATCCAACTGATGTAAGATTTTTTCCCCCTCCTGTATCTTAAGAGGAAAATGTTTCAACTACGAATGAAAGCAAACCTGGCTGCAGTCCACTTTGCCAACAGAGGCAGTCCTTGGCTTATGTTTATTTGTTCTACAACTGTTCAAAGTTGCAGCAGCGCAGAAAAAATTCCAGCCATTGCATCCCCATGGTAATGTGATCAAGATCTAAGTGTTGGGGTCACAATTACAATGTTCAAGTGCAGTGGTGGTGAACCTATGGCACACAGAGCCCTCTGTGTGGGCAACGCACGCCGTGGCCCCAGCTTGTTTCGGATCTTGCGCTCCATAGTATATGCCAATCATCTTATAGGCCCTCTCACGGCTTCTGCTAACCCTCCTGTGCTTTCTAACACTCCACCCCCTTGCAGCCTTCCCATATGCTCCTTAACTAGGACTCCTCTTCCCCCATAAAAATCAGCAAGTCTTAGGGTTACAATGGCTACCAGCCTGCTAGGATTTCTGTCAGTAAGTGATGCGAGTCGTCACTTACCATATACAACTGGAACCAGCAGTTCACTATTACTAATCAACATGGTCACTAAATGAAAAACAATGTGACTGTGCTGGACCCATGCTACTTTCACTTCCCTTGTTACGTAAATTACCCTTGTCATTAGGTAAGATACCATGTGACCATGACTTTCAATTTCACTTCATTGTTCTCCATTAATTCTGCTTATTGGAAGCCGGTTATGAAGTTTGCAAATGGCAATCACACGACTATGGGACACTGTAATGCCTGTAAAATGCACACCAGTTGCAAAATGCCTGAATGGCAATTGTGTGATTGTGGAAAGCTACAATGGCTATAATTGTGATGATCAGTTGCAATGCCTTTTGTTTCCAACCATAACTCTGAATGGTTGCTAAACAAGGCTATCACTAAGCGAGGACTACCGCTGTCTGTAAATTTAACTGTCAAGAACTGATTCTTTTTATTACTATTTTGCAAGACGAAAAAGAAACTAGAATGAAAAATCGATGACACAGCAGTAGCACTTAGACTTATATACCACTTCACAGTGATTTCCAGGCCTCTCTAAGCGGTTTACAGAGTCAGCATATTAGAATTAGAAGGAATAGTTAAGAAATGCAACTAGACTTGAGGATAAATATAAACATTTTCAAATTTCCTGCCAAAATTGTATTTTTACATATAAAATTAATCTTATTTCTTGTGATGGGTTGCCATTTATGTGAAGTAAATCAGCCTCAAATTTCATATAAAAGATTGTGGGTGATTTTCTTCTAAAATTAATTCTCAAGAACTTAAAATGTTAGCAAAGAGTTTTTAACTTGTCTTATGGCACAATAAAGATGGTTTATTGGAAAATCTCTCTTCATCCTCCACAAGAAGCTCAGCTAGAAAAATGCTCTCTGTGGCTCCTTTGGAATTTAGTTGTGTCTGTAGGATAATTTTCCATGGATTGTTTGGGTTTCTACAGCAAGGCCATCTGATTAACTGCTTCTAGAAGTAGACTTACAGTAAATTCTAAACAAGCCACAAACAGCAATAACCAGCAGAATTTCCAGCAATTTCTCTATGATCTGACAAGTACATTGGTAGGTTTCCCAATAAGCTATTTTTATAGGTTACAAATCATCTAAGCCATACTTAATAATTAATTTGAGAGTCAATGAAAAGACTGGATAATCCCAGAAAGTAAGAAGAAACTCAATCAGAAACGGATGCATTTGGTGAGGGTGACAGCTATATTCTGAATCCAACAACAACTTTAACACACACACACACACACACACACACACACACACACACA